TCCACTCCACATGACAGGAAGAGCAAACGGTAGATGGAAATTACTGATACATAAGTGCAAAACCAAAACTTTAAGCAGATTATTAAAAGCTTCACCTACAATACCAGAAATATTTTACAAGGTTACTTTAGCCACTGTTAAAGTGTTAAGCAGTTATTTTTCACTTAAAATGTCCAGGAAAAAACTGGCTACTTTTGTGCTTACAGTTGACTTCAGTGGGAAATCTACGTCGTCCCTTAGACCGTAGCTGGAAACCCTCCACTCAACCTGACGTGCACTTCCCAAGAAAATTAACTACAGGTTGGGTCGATGCAACCTGCAATCATGTCCGTGAGCGTGGTGATTTTTCCTTTATTTATTATTTTTTCCAAACGGTGCAGACTTGTCCGCAGACAATTTACATTACAGTGCATCTACTATGCTGACCAGGCGTCAGACTTCGAGCGGACGTCAAAAAAGTGTAACAGGAAGGACGACTCGGCCAACAGGTTTCCAGCAGAGTATAATCTAGGCTTAACCTTCAAGCTGTGACAAGGCTGGCAATACAGAGGTGACAAAGGAGGCCGAGTATAAACTTCCTCCTCCTTTTCTACATTTTTCACAACCAAATGTAAGACTTCAAAGAGAAAACGATCTGAAAATGTCTCCCTTTATCCCATCTTTAAACTAAAATGACACCTTCCCCCTGCCTTCCTTTAACCTATAAACATTTGATCTCAGGCATACCCCAACAATAACCACTTGGTACCTTTTAGAGAAAACGTCACACTTTCCGTACCGTAGTCACAGATGCTTCATCGACGCCTAAACTGATGAGCTGCTGTGAACAGCCATCCACAGCTCATCAAACCTTCATCCGGCCTTGATTTCTCCCCACCTGTTCATTACAAGAATGACAGCAGACACTAACCGATACAAAGCTGTTCCTTTATCTCGTAAGGCAGTGTTTGCCTTCACGTCAGCTCACGACACCACCTGACAATGGTTTGCTGTGAGGATATTGGTTTTGACACCACATGCTCCTCCATTTGCCAGACACAGAGCATTCAACACCCAGCCCCCATCACCTTTTGACCTCTGGCACCTCGCCTGTGAGAGAGTTTGTGAGGTGAGTGTTGTTTATTAGAGAGGCACTTAACAACCTCTGCTGCTACAAATCCTGGCTGTTGAATGCTGACATCTTTTAAGGTGCTTACCAATTATTACTTAAGTCAGTCCTGTTATGCATGAGAGCTGTTCAGTTATACCGAGAGGTTAAAAAGCTGCAGGTACAGAAAAGTTAGAGCACACTTGCTACTATATTGCTAGAATGAAACATCTGAAGAAAACGGCAACCAAGCAAAAGTTTTCTCCTGCGCATATTCTAAACTAAAATTACTGCAACAATAACTAGCTGTTCATTTATCTTGCACCTTTTTAAAACTCCAATTTTCTTCCATTTTTGGCCGCTGGAGGTCAAGTTTTATACCCCATAAGGACCCCATAATGAGGACATTTACAAGCTCATTTCACAAGACCAGAAAGCTCAGTTTCCTGCAAGAAAACATGTCAGCTACTGGTTTTGCTGGTCAACAGCATTTCACTCAGGGACAATGAAAATACGTGCCCCACTTAAGTCAGTCAGACCCTACTTTAGCTGTTCTAATACCAACACACGATGAAAGAACTAAAGACTGCAAGAAGTGACGAGTTTTATCAGATGGAAACAAAAAAAGAGAGTTTATAGCGATTTATTACATGTCCCGCCACCGCAGCCAATCTCACACTTAGCCTTTGTCAGGGGTAAGAATTAAGAAGTTAAAAATTAATTCATCAATATAAATACAAAACTTTGTTGACTCAGTCAGCTGGACTACACCAGAGTCTGAACTAAAGTCCATGTTTGGTTGTTGTTTTGCTGTAGCATCGCTGCAGCCTCTGGCTTTCACAATTTAGCTGCTTGAAAACCTGAAGAAAGACTGCCAGCCACTTTTTATTTCAAGATGCTAACAGCAACAAGCAGCTCATGATAGTTTCCCAGCCTTGGCAACACTCTGAAATACATGAGCAATTATTGCCATTATCGTTAGAAGGATCATAATAAACCTTCAGCTCTGTGGTGAGGCAAAAAAAGACACTACACAAGAAAGGCCGAGCATGATCCACGTGACAAAGGTCACACACTCACAGTCCCCCGTGACACCTGTAACAGAGTGTATATTAATATCATAATGACATTTTAGACAAGCAGCTACAAACTAACACAGACCCAGATCTGACCTTTGCCATTAAAGAATATCATTAATAGATGAGGACAAGATCTCTCTCTTCCGGTTTTCTGATTAAAAGCCTCTCCAGGCAACACTTAAACTGTTTTCTTATGATGGGATTAAATATTTTTATGCTAGTTTGGGCTCAAAACTGACTCTGACATTTTATTTTGAAAAACTAAATTTGTTTCTTCAATGAAAAAGAAATTCTGGTTTTTTATCAACGGAGCGAAAACTCAACAGATAAACAAATAAAAAAGTGGGTGACTTTTTAAAATATATATATATATATTTGCACTCAAGTAATAAAATAAAAAAGACCCATAATGTCCCATAAAAAGCAAGGAGAGGAGCAGCGGTTCCTAGAGGACGGAGTGAGTTCACTTCAGCGCTAGCTAACCCAACTCTCATCAACCTGCTCCAACTGTTCCACCACTAATAGCTAAAAGTCTGTAAATAACCAATAAGGAGCACGTGTGTGTGGATTTGTGTAAAATCCACATAAATATTGGTAAATAAAGGTTTTGACCCATTTCCCCGACATTACTGATCACAAGGCAGAAGTTTGAACACTGAGAGGAAAACAAGTGGAAAAAAAAATCCCATGCAGTTTGATTTCAATGGGACAGATTTCCAGCACAGCCCTCACCCACACTCACCTTGCTCTGTGAACAACTCTTCGGTCACTCAGCTCTGGTTTACTCCTCCTTACAGCGAAGTTTTAGTAAAGTATCCAATTTTTCCGCAGCCGGTGCTTGTGCAGACAAATTAGCGGGCAAGAAAGCGATTCCTCCTCGATATTCCTGCCGCTCAGTCCATGCTTGGAAATTTCCAGTCAGGCGTCCAACTTTCACAACTTTACACACCTAATTTAACTTACTGATGAAAAACAGCGTGGATACTCCATGTAGCAAAAAAAAAGTTTCTCCTGTTTCTCTGCTTGGTTTCATTCAGCAGCTCTCTGCCTCCACATGCGCCCCGTAACAGTGAGAACACTCCGGTACTTCGCTCAGCGCCCAGCTCTCCACAGGCGTAAAAAGGGGGCTGGCGAAGGGAGGATACGTGACGCTCCCTTCAAGTGCTCCTCGTATTTTACACAACCACGTGTGAACGTAAGGTAATCTGTGTTAAATAGTGACCAGCTTTAGCTGCACAGTGAGAATGTGAAACCCCGGGATCCCCACACTGACACGACCGCTGCAGACAAAATAGAAGTGGGCTGAAAGGTCTGTTGCTTTATTACGCATTCAGATTGTGTATCATGTTTTTAAAAAGTAACTATGTAATAAAGTAACTAATTACTCTTGAAAATAAGTAATCAGTAAAGTTGTTACTTTCTTGGAGAAGTAATGAGTAATTAGTAACTACTATTTTCAAGTAACTTGACCAACACTGGTGAGATGTGCTTCTTAAAAGATTTTGAGTGGTTTTGTCTTTTGTTGTTCACCAGACCACAACCTGCGAATTTAAATAGATAACTTTCACTTCATTTTCATAATTGTAGTAGAAAAACCAGTGACTGTTAGGATGGAAAGTTTACTGAACGCAATAACAATAGTGTAAAGTCTGTACTTCCACCAGTTCCTGAATGCAGCATCAGTTGCTAGAGAGCCGGCTGATGCATGGCAGACCCCTTCTGGCCAACAGGAAACATGCATGGAGTACATCTGCCAGTGTGACCCATAGACTTTATTACATCAAATAGTCCTGCTTTAAGAAAAACTGACGTCCATTTTTCATTATCTGAGATCAAATATATTCAGAGAGACTCAAAGGGCCAAATATGTGATAAAAACACAATCATCAGATTAATTCTTTCTATATTGCAAATGTATGTTGCTGAGAATTCATAAAGTCAACATACAGAAATATTAATAGATAATCTTTTGCTGGCTGGTTTGAAAAAACCAAACAAGCAGCAGCCGTTTACTATAGTGAACCATGACACAAACATTCACAACACATTAAGTCAGCGTGACTGGAGCTGTTTGTTGTGTGGGATGACTGTGGTGTTATTCAGGGTGCAGTTCTTATCCACTGTTCAGTTTAGAGATGCCATGTCACACTGCGGATCAACAGAGACCACACAGAGATCACAAAACCCGCTCCACACACTTTTTATCCTCAAGGAGAGTCTCTCTCTGAATCTTTGTCTTCTCTTGTGAAAAGAAGCCTTTTATCTTACCCTTTTTAATTCTCCTGTAATGAGGGCTGAAGCCAGATAAACTTCAAAGATCACACTCAGCCCCACCCACCACGGCACTTGTTAAATCCCCCCGAGCTCTAATACAAGACAGTACAGTCTGTTCTGCTCTCACTATGTACACTCGTATTATAATAATCATGTATATTTATCAGGGACATTTGCATCCAGAGCATGGAGCTCTTTCTGTGTCACAAAAGAGTTGTACGAGATGCACACACTACAGCACAGATGAAATTAGTGCAAAAAAATAAGATCATATTTTTTAGACATTGCTATTTCAGATAACTGAATTATTTCTTTTTGATTATGCAAAGATCCTCAAAACCTCACTGAAACATCAAAGAAAGTATATTTACATATAGTCCACACAAGAATATCTCTCGAGAAGATAGAAGCCACATTTTATTCATATAGGGTTGGGTTCCTGTTTTATCCACTTCATAGTCTTAGCTTCTTAGCTTTATATCATGCACATTAAAAATATTAAACATTATTGTCATTTATCACCCTTCTCTGGCTGCTTGCATGTACAACACAACCAATGACTGATCAAGCACCTCTCCTTCAGGTGAGTGGCCCAGAGACATCCAGTGCCCTTGGGTCCAAGCCTTTCTCAGGTTAGTTCCCCCGTTTTAAAAAGCCTTCTTTATCCTTGTAAGGAAGAGTACTCCCTTACTTGTATTATAACTTGTACAGCACTTTATGTAACATCACACTTCAACCCTCTGGCTTTGTTCAAAATCACCTTTCAGCTTGTTTGTGGCCAAAAGTGTCCACCGACAGATTAGGTCTGTAATTTTTATTACTTTTATGGGGGTTTTTTTGCCATTTTTTCTGCATAAAGCTTTTAACTAACTTCAGTTCTTTTCATAAATATAAAATAGTTATTACATTTTTAACCCTTTAAACACCAGTTTGTTTGTCCACTGCACTAGCTGAAAGACAACATCACATCTCGCAATTTTCTATAATTGCATTGCTACTGGAATGTCTTGTATTATTAATAGTAGAGTCTGGGACATGTAATTGATTCACATCAACATTGATTATAATGCATTGTTATTTTTGTGCAGGGAGAGCAAAAACATAAAAACTTCCTCTCAGATTGTTCGTGGCCAAAAAGGGCCACCCCTTGTTTACGTTTACAAAATGCTATAAAATTAATATATATTAAGAATAATTTCCACTTTTTTGACTTGATTTTTAGCATCAGTGCTGTTCATGAAAATCAAAATTTCATTCAAATTCAGAATTTTAACCCTTTAAATACCAGTTAAATCAAATAATCCTAGGAACTCATAAATGGAAAAAATCGTAAAACCCCAATTGTTTTCCAAATAAAACATGCCATCTGATTTATTTTCTAACCATGGTGGAGGTTGGATGTATAGCAATAATTAACAGTATCAATGACTTTTATGCATCTTTGTTTTTTTGTGCAGTGACAGAAAAACATAAAAACTCCCTCTCAGCTTGTTCATGGCCAAAAATGGCCACCCCCTGTTTACGTTTACAAAATGCTTTAAAATTCATGCATATTAAGAATAATTTCCACTTTTTTGGACTTGATTTTTTAGATTAGCACCGGTCCTAGTCATGAAAACCAAAATATAATTCAAATTCAGATATTAGACCCTTTGAAAAGCGTAGTAATAATATTATGTATTATTAGGCTTTTGGGGGGAAATAGTAATAGAGTTCAATTTTTTTAGCATATGAATGATGAAACCTAATATTTTTTTTATCATCACTGCAGGTCAGTAACAATGATTTATTTTTACTTTTTTTTTTTTTTTTTTAAATTTTTCTTTGGGGAGGGGATAAATGGCCAAAAAGAAAATCACACATGGTGTGTTATTGGCCAGAAAGGCAATTTAACGACCAAATAACCACTGAAACGACCAATAAAATGATCAAAATTTATATCCCAGTATGTGCTTCTGTGTGCATCCTCATTAGCAGCAGGATGTACTGACCACAGTAGAGTGGTTTTTGTAGGCACACTTTCTACACCTGGTGCACGGGGCTGCTGTTCCAATCCTGGAGGTGCGCCTTTTGCACATTCTTCTCACTTCGTTGGTGGGGTGTGGGTCACACTCTGGTTCAGACTACTGTATCTTGAGATCAATGGCAGAAGTGGCTGAGAATAAGGGACAAGGGTGTCTTGCAGTTGTTGAGGTCACCAGCATGTGTCTCAGCTCTCCCAGCATCACTCTTCATTTGTAGGTTGTAGAGGACTCCCCCCTTTCAGTGAAGTTGTTTCCGGCGGGACAAAGGCATCGTATCCCAAGACATCCAGGAGATTGGAGAAAAGAGCCATCAGCCATCAGTTAGTTTTCCTTCTACAACTCGAGGTGCCAACACCCTCTAAGTTATCCAAGCAATATTTGTGCCTATTGTCGTCCAGCATTGCTTCTTGCTTCCACGCATCCTTTATTCCCCATCACTGACTGCTGGTTCCTTGTGTGTTGCTGTCAAAAGAAGCACATTCCTCCATTGCTTTGGCATGTGGGATATTGCTGTGGTAGTTTTGGGGAAGCCAAAGACAGACAACAAAATCTTCCTCTGTGTCAACTGGAGGAGCTGGGGAGGAAGCTCTGGGTTGTTTCCCCTGTGCCAGTTTTCATCTGAGGGGTTCCTCTGCCAAGGTGACCGAAGGAAAGACGTTGTCCTCGGAGCTCCTCCGTCAGTTGGAGTCTGAACCCCTTTCCCTTTTTTACTTCCTGAGAACTTCCAGTGTTGTCATCCAACATGCTATGTATTGCTTTATTCTGGTGTAGGCTCACATCTCCACTTCATCTATAATCCTCCAATCCTCACACCTTTGCCTCCCGTCCAGGTTTGTCAGGGTGCACAGCAGCTAAAAGATCTCCTTTGTTTTAAAAAAGTCAAAAGTAGATCTCAGGCTGCTAATGCAGGAAACTTCATACAGGTTGAGCCCTGGTTTGATACCAGTGGGTACTGGATTGTAGAGCAGTCTCTCTTCAGTGGTGGGACCCACATGGTTTTCCTTTCATGAGGGATCCACTCAGTCACCGGTTCCTCGGTCTCAGAAAATGCTCCTATGTTCTTTTCCATCAGCTGCTCGGCCTCCACCTCCATGCCCTCCAACCCCAATCCTCCCCCAAAGAAGAGGATTCGGGCACTGGCTAGTACTCATCATCAGTGGTGATGCAGTCAGCCTCTTTGGAGATTGTCCCCTCATCTTCTGGAGAGGAAGTTTCTTCATCTTGGGCAGATGTCTTTTCTTCAAGGG